CCTTTAGTCATTGCCATCTAGAGTACTTTTTCATGTGGGTATTAACAGTGTGTAGTTGTTCTTTAGACCACTTATCTATTGGGGTATGGCATTTGGTCTTAGATCTTTAAGTGTTTGCCCGTATAATTTAGATATCAGACCTTTATCAGAGGTATTTGATACTGAAATTTTCCTCCCAGTTACCTGCTTCAAAAGGAAGCTTCTTAAACCGTATTTATATCTTGAACACTTGCTTTGTAAAGGGGAGAGGTCTAAAGTTTGGATAAAACCTTTCCTGCTTTTTTTTTTTTTTGATGGAGGGGTGTGAAGAGGACCCAGATCTATAAGTGTCTCAGGGCTACGTACGATGTTACTCCTGGGAGGCTTGAGGAGGGGGATGTCATTACTAGGTGGGGGGAAGGGTCCCTCCAGGCATATTCCCAGAGGAGGTTACATTGGAGTTGAGCTTTAAAAAGATGGCGAGGGCTTCCACTGGGGGAGATTGGGCAGGGGGGTAGAGATACTAGCTATACAAGTGGGGAAGTATGGGGCATACATATAGGGGATGGTCATTTTTGTCAGAGGGTAGATTATATAGGGGAGAGAAATACAAGATCAGGCTGTAAAGGCAGGAAAGCCCGTAGTGGGCCTCATATACCCATCAGAAAAGGACCAATAAGCTTGACATTTTGAGTTTGTACTCTAACATCTAGTACAGTGCTTCATACACAGGTAGTTAATGATGAGTCTTGATGGAATGAAGGAATACCTATGTAATTCAACTAATGCTTCCATGTGTCAGTAGCTACTCCGAGGTATAAAGTACCTGCTTTGGGAATAATGACAAATAGAAACATTTACCTTTGCTCTTTGCTACTACAAACATTCACTTTGGTCCTTAGTTGTAACATGTAGCTAATACTTCAGTTTAGGCTGATAGCAAACAGTGGCTAGAGTGTTGGAACAGGAGTCAGGAGGACCTGAATTCAATTCCACCCTCAGACACTTAGTAGCTGTGTGACTCTGTGCAAGTCACTCTTCTTGCCTCAGTTTGCTCATTTGTAAGATGGGGATAATAATACCACCTACCTCCCAAAGTTGTGAGGATCAAATGAGATAATGTCTGCAAAGCACTTTGGAAACCTTAAAGTTCTATACAGATGCTAGCTCACTATATTATTATATGTTCAGACATGTTTGTGACTTCACGTGGGTCTCGGAAGCTCTCCATAACACCATTCATTGTATTGCAGTTAGCATGAGGCAGCTTAATTTCAGGCCCCACTGAAAGCACAAGTGATGCTAGAAGACCATTACTTACTTCTGCCAGCATTATCCAAAAAAATACAGTCCTTGGAAACATAACTCATGGTGCTTTTCAGCCAGCCACTACACTCTTCCTAGAATGTTAAGGAAACCCTGAGCTGTAGGCAAAGAACGTGGGTGACTTAGAGAGTCCAGTTTTGTCTAGCTGAAAGTGTTACCTATGTGAGACTTCTGTTTTCCATCCTTTTCCCCTACACTCTTTCACTCTAAAAGCCATCTAGATTACAGTTATCCTGTGTCTCCTGGCTCCAGAATGGGGATCGGTGATAGGTAGAAATCAGAAGAAAGCAGATATGACTTTGGAGGGAATGGGATGACTCATTCCCTACCCCTGGCAATCCTAAAGAGGGTTGGAGGACCACTTGTCGGAATATTATAGAGTAGTTATTTGCCAGATGAGGGTTAAAATCAGCTCAACCTCTCAGAACCTTTTATGTGCCAGGACGAGATGAACGCTCTCAGCCCCACTCACTGAGAAAACAAGGCTCTTTCTGGCAGGTCATCCAGACTCTTTCTGGCAGGTCACCTTGACCGTGGATCCAAGCCCAGAGACTTCCCAAGAGCCTGCCCAAATGTGCTCCATCCGCCTTAGATTCTCTGGCCGCAGATCCCTTTCATTAATCTCTCCCCTGCTCATCAAGCACAGTTCAACAGCAGCTGTACCTTCTTTTTTTTTGCTTTTGAGTAATCTATACATTTCCTTCTTGTTCTTCCTCACATTATTGAATTTTAGAGGTCATCTAGTGTAGCCCACCAAAAAAAGTAATGCCTTTTTCTAATTACATCACATTAATTTCTGAAGATATATTCCTTCCCCTCCCTTTTCTCTGCCTTAGCATAACCAATTAAAAAACGTGAACTAATCTCACAGTATTTGCAGTATTCCGTACCTGTAGTGTCCTAGCCCAACAAAGAAGAGAGAGAGCTTCTCATCTCCTCTTTAGGACCAAGCTCTGTCATTTTAATTAAAGAGAATTCAAATTTGTTTTCTGACTCTTTCCATTTAAAGACATGTAGTGATTGGGTATAATATTTCCTGGTTCTCCTTACTAAATTCCCTCTGTAATCAGTGCGAATCACTCTCCTCGTGTTCTGAACTCTTCATAGTCCCTTTCTTAACAGCACAGTAACATCCCATTGCATTCATGTACAACAGTGTTGTTTAGCCATTCCCCAGTCTGTGGGCGCCTGCGTTGTTGCTAATTCTTTGCTACCACAAAAAAGTCCTGTTCTGCGTATTTTGATATCTATCAGGCCTTTCTTTTTGATCTTCAACCCTTTTGGGGTATATGCCCACCACTGGATCAAAGGGTATGGACAAGTTAGTCACTTTCTTAGCATGACTCCATACTGATTCCCTCAATGGTTGGGACAGTCCCAGTTCAACCAGCAGTGCATTAGAGTGTCTGTCTTTCCTGTCCCTCTTCGACGATGACTTCCCTCATTGATCACCTTTGTCAGTTTGCTTACACTAACTGCATTGATTTTGTTCATGTCAAGGATTTTCATCCTCATGTAATCCCAGACGTGTTTTAATGTTTTGTAATCTCCTGCATTCCTTTTTAGTTAAAAATGAATGCTCCACCTTGGCAGTCACCTGCTTCTTATTCCATTCTCCTAATTTGTTTATGCATAAGTCACACACTTATATGTATATGGATCGAGGTATTGGTCTAAATCTAATTTTTACCAAACTGTCCTTTAGTTTTTCCAGTATTTCTTATTAAATAGGGAGTTTCTTCCCCCACTAGTTTATGTTCTCAGGTTTATCCTACTCTAGGTTATTGAACTGGATTGTTTTTGATTCATAGGTTTCTTTTTTTGAACTTGAATCTTTAATACTCAGCATTAACACAGTGCTTGGCACAATAAGTATATGCTGGATTAGGATACTCTGTTCCATCTATCTCCTTTTCTATTTTTCAACCAGTACTAAAGAGTTTTAATGATTACCACTTTATAACTTGAAATCTGAAAGTAATATTCTGCCTTGATTTCCTTTTTTGTCATGTGAAATTTTGAATTATTTTGTCTGGTTACAAAACCGTCTTATTGGTTGTGTGTGTAAATACATGTGTATTATTTACAGATTTATAAATCATTTTAGATGGTGTCATCATTTTAATTATATTGACAAAACCCAACCATGAGCAGTGAATGCTCCTTCAATTTTTGTCATTTTTTATTTCTGTAAACAGTACCTTATAATTGTATCTGCATTAATTTTGAGTCTGTCTTGGTAGATTGATTACCCAGATGGTTTTTGCATTTCTTTGCAGTTCTTTTGAATGAGATTTTTGTTTTTTCATGATTTCCTCCTGCATTTTGTTATTGCTATATAGAAATGCTCATGACTTTTCTCAGTTTCTTTTATTTGCTGCCATTTTATTGAAACTATTCATTGTCTTAGTTTCTTTGCTGATTGATACCCTGGAGTTTTCTAGATAAACTGTCATTTCATTTGTACTTAACCCCCTTCATTTTTTTTTCAACCAAAAATTTATTTTCTTTCCTTAAACTTTCCCACCTTCATGGGGGAAAAAGGGAAGAAAACCTCCTCTTGCAACAGATATCAAATATGCATTGTAAAACAGAACAAGTTTCTAGGTCCCAAGTTTGGCTAGGTCCCCAAAGTCTGTTTCATCATTCATATTGAATCTCTCATCTCGCTGGCAAGGTGCTTCCCCTGAGGCAGGGAGGGGAGCAATAGTAATGATGTCTAATAAATGATGGCCATTAAAGCCTTTTTTATGATGCATAGAAGAGATCAGAGACAAGCAGAGCAGTTTTAAGAGTGGGTGGAATTTATTATGTACTTTTTAAGAAAGCACGTGCTATGAAATGGCAGCTCACGCTTTCACACGTGTGTGTAGCAATGCAGCTTTGTGTTGTTAAAGTGCAGAATGAAGAGATATCTTTAAAGAATATAAGCCACTCGTGCATGGCGAGTGTTTCATTTGATGTCCTTGTATTCCCAGTGTCTGGCACACAGTAGGCATTTAATAAATGCTTGTTGATTATCTTGGAGTGGAGAACTCCAAGTAAGAAGTCTCTCTACCAGTACAAATCTGCCACTGTTCTGCAGTTTCTGTAGCTTACTGTTTGTGGCACTGAGAAGTTACATGACTTGTCTAGGGTCACACAGCCAGCCTTTGAAATGTAGGACCTGAATTTAGGTCTTCCTGATTCAGAGGCCAGCTGCTATCTACTATACTATGCTCCTTTTCCTTAGACGATCATGGCCTTCAACATTTCCAGCATAACATTGACATTGAATTATATAATCCTTAAGAGATGAGATTTCAATACAATTCTATTGTAATTCAAATTTGAAATATTAAGTTTATTTTTAAAATATCTGTTTAGTACATGAGGAGCGGGTTCATTAGTTATTAGCAATAGATATTCTTCTAGAAATGTCAGTAAGACTGCACCTGTTCTGATTGGTTGTAGTTAGAGCTGAGCTGCAGGAAATATTTATAAATAAAGATTGGAAGTTAAGTAATGTAGGGGTTTGTAAACTCTCTTGGTTTGCATCAAGAACCAAGACCAGTTTTGTTTTGTGATAGAACAGGATATTCTTTCTCTTGATTGTACCCATTAAGAGAAGGTTTTGTTGTGTGTGTGTGTATGTGTGTGGGTGTGTGTGTGAGGGTGTGTATTTAACATCTGATATGTCTTATATTTTCTCACAGCCACCAGTGACTAAAAGTCTGGTAACCAACTGTAAACCAGTAACTGATAAAATCCATAAAGCGTATAAAGACAAAAACAAATATAGGTATGTAATTTGGTGGTGGTGGTGGTGGTGTGAGCTTAAGCATGATGGGGCCAATCATTTTTCATTCTTTTTAAAGTATCCTCTTGTTGACTAAACATTTATTTAATGAAAAACTTTTTATAAGACTATATACTTACTGATTGTTATTTTAGCTAAGTAACTATATTTATATTAAATCTGTATAAATGTTTTTCTCTTCTTCATTATGTCTTGGTAATAATTAGGTTTGAAATCATGGGAGAAGAGGAAATTGCTTTCAAAATGATTCGCACCAATGTTTCTCATGTGGTTGGCCAATTAGATGACATAAGAAAAAATCCCAGGTACTCATTTCTTAATATGCACATTAAAATTTAAATGGTCTTTTCTTCTTTTTTAAAAGCAAAAAATAATTTAGAATAAGCTTAGTAACTACTAATTAGCAAAAAGAAACCTCCAGATAAAATTAAAAATGATCATTCAACCAGAAGGTGTCCAGGTTATTTGTAATTGGTTTTAAAACATGTATACTAATATTACATTATTTCATATATTATCTTTGTTTGGCCTTTCCCTCCATCGTGAATGTACAATATCTGACTTATTTCCAGGGGATCTTTTTTTCTGTTTCATCTAAAATGGTTATGAATGGTTTTGTACAGATAGAAATTACCTCTCCTAATTTGTACGTTAGACTGGTCTTCACTTTTATTTTAAAATGTGGTATAACTTAATTTTATTTTCTAAATGTTCAATCCACAATTGAGAGGAGACTGTAAGCTGTAACGTAGTACTTACATCAGAAGACATTCACAGCTTCTACCTTTATGGCATTTTCAGTGAATTTTATTGGACATAACATTTGTGTAGAGATTCACCAAGCAGTGTAAGATGCAGACCCAGACTTCCAGTATAAGGTCCCAGCTAGAGACTTTAGGAGACCTAGAAGGAATAGTTGAAGCTATGTCAGTAAATGAGAAGGGCAAGGAAGGGGAAGGAGAAAATGAAGAGAAAAGGGATAAGAGAAGAGAACAAAACTTTGAGAGAAGCTTAGATTTAGGGGCCAGGAGGAAGAAAAAGAGCTTGGGTATCTGCTACGGCTCACAGAGAGGGACAGGTCACAACAGCACCTTGTAAGTGTCCATGACTTGACGTAGACAGTTCAGAATCCTGCCATATATATCTAGGGTATCATTGAGAGTATCCTGTGAATTGTCCAAGGTGATGTCTCTCCATTCACCACTTTTTTTTTCTTGGAGGCAATCAGGGATAAGTAACTTGCCCAGGGTTATACAGCTAGTAAGTGTCTAAGGCTTAATTTGAACTCAGGTCCACTTGGCTTCAGGGCCAGTGCTTTATCTACTGTGCAACCTAGCTGCCCCCACTACCCACTTCTTATGATTAATGTAGAGACAGATGATAACATCAGGAGGAACCTATAAAGTATTGCTTAGGGATTGTGGAGTGCTAGATGAAAAACTGGACAATTGGGGCAGAATATACATTGCTATTAATCGCTATGAACTTGAAGGTAGAAGCTTCAGAAAAGAAAGACAGGTGTAGATGAGAAATGTACAAAAGATTAAGAAGATAAACCTCAAAGGAGAAGGGTATTTGGATTTCTGGTTCAAATACTGGAATCAGTCAACAAGCATTTATTACATGCATACTCCGTGGCAGACATGGTGGTTGGTACTGGAGAGACCGTGAATGAAACAGCCCCTGCTCATAAAGAGCTTACTTCTCATGGGGAGTTGGGGTTCGGAGGTCAAGGATATAAATAAATGTTAAGTGAATAAAATACATGGTAGTTGGGGGAGAGGACAGTAGTGGTTTAGAGGATCAGGAAGGCTTCATGTACAAGGTGGTACTTGGGCTTCATCTGAGGGAAGGGAAAGATTGTATGAAATAGGGCTGAGCAGGAAATACATTGTAGGCATGTGGACCTTCCGTGCAAAAGCATGGAAATGGGAGAAAACAGAGAATGCCAATTTGGCCGGACTGCAGAGTATCAGAGTAATGTCTAGGGAGCCCAGAAAAATAGGCTGTGGTCGGGTTGTGAAGGGCTCATTCCTGTGTTCCACAAGCAATTCTGGCCCCTAGTTAAGTCATTTAACAGTAACATAAATTGCATGCAATACTAATTAACAATTCACAATTCCAGAAGAAAATAGTTATAGGCAGGCGCACACCAAAACAAATAAAACCAAACATAAAATAAACCCCAAGAATGCCTTGCATTAATAAGTGCGTCCTCAGAACTGAACCCATTGGGTATTGTTGGGACTCCCAAGTCAGAAAATTCTCTTGGAAGAAACATTGAGAAGAAAGGAGCAGGCTTCAGCTCATCTCATAATTCTTTTAGACCCTTGAGCAATCAAATACCTGAGAAGTGAAACACATCTTTCAGAATATATTTTCTTATCCTGAGTCAACCAGTCCTATGCTCAAAAATTGTTGTGCAAGTCCTGGAGAAAAGTATTGTCTCCAAATTTTTAAACACTTGTTTTAGTCTCTGGTAAGTTGCCATGGTTATGGCAACAAGCCATCACATTATGTTTTGTTTGCCTGTTTGTTCTCTCTCCTTCAGACTCTAAACTCAAGGTAAGTTGGCAAGCAGGAACTGCTTACCTTTGCTTACAGTTAGTAGTGGTTTAAAACGAATAATCAGACTGATCCAGACACAGTCCATAAGAGCTCTGGAGTAGTGATGAGCCCTTGGCTGGGTTTGGAGTATATCTAATAATGGATGGTAGACATATGTTTGTTTAATGCTCTTTACCCATAACTCGTTTTGATTAATTTAAAAAATTTTTAGCAATCAAGCATTAAAGTTCAGTTTAGGGAGAGAGGATGAAAACCTGTCAGGAAGAAGAGCGAGCAATAGATAGGCCAGTGTATTATGGAAAATATCCAGGAAGAGGGATAGTAATAATCTTCTGGGCTTCAGATAAATATATTCCAATGCACAGAATGTAAATGAAATGAATGAGAAATCTTCCTGTGGAGTGGATATCTCATAGGTATCACTGTGACTTGGTAAGATGGAATTCTTTTTTTTTTTTATTAACTTATTTTGAATTATCAACAATCACTTCCATAAGCTTTTGAGTTTTAAATTTTTCTCCCCCTCCCTCCCCAAGATGGCGCACAGTCTGATATAGGCTATATAATATACATTCCTATTAAATGTATTTTCACATTAATGATGTTGTAAGTAAGAATTAGAACCAATAGGAGGAACCACCAGAAAGAGGAAACAAAACACAACAGAAGAAGAAAAATAGCCAATAATATGCTTAGACCTGCGTTCAAACTCCATAGTTCTTTCTTCTTTGTAGATAGCATTTTCTATAAGATGGAATTCTTGATTAGAATATGGATGAGGAAGAAAATACTTGTTAAAAAAGAACTGATTTGATAGAAGGGCCAACCTCGTTACTGTGTTCCTATAGATACAAAAGATGTCATGTATGAGAAAATACAAGAACAAAGATGGGGGTGAGAAGGGGTAACCATGGACCATGCCCAGGACATTTGGGTTAAAAGCAATAGGAGGGGAACCAGACCAGGTGGGAGTGTATTAAAGACCACCTGGCCAAAAGGAGAAAAATGGATGATGAGTTGGGAACCTTTAAAAATCTGGAGTAGAAGGATGATATCAGTCAGCCAATAAACATTTATTAAGCACCTACTGTATTCCAGGCATTGTGCTAAGTGCTGGGGATGCAAAGAAAGGCAAAAAACAGTCCCTGCCCTCAAGGATCTTACAGTCTAATAGGGGTGACAACATGGCAAAAAGTTACATACAGACCAGCTATAGACAGGATAAAATGGAGATAGATCAGCAGAGGGAAGACATTAGAATTATGAGGGATCAGGAAAGATGTCCTGTAGGTGGGATTTTAGTTGGGACTTGAAGGAAGCCAGATGGAACTGCGGAAGGAGAACATTCCGTGCATGGCGAACAGTATTTGACGATGGAGTATTTTGTTTAAGGAACAGCAAGAAGGCTGGTGTTGCTGGATCACAGAGTAAGGCAGGGCGGGTTATAAATTGTAAGAAGACTAGACAGGTAAGAGGATGGGGCAGATTAGGAAGGGCTTTGAATTCCAGAGGATTTTCTATTTGATTCTGGAAGTTCTAGGGAACCAGGGAAGTTTTATTGGGGGGGGGAGTGACATAGGGTTGCAGTTCCCTACCCAGATATTTCTTTCAGTGTTATATCTGCTAAAAAGAGAACACTGATAAATTCTTGACTTCCCTTATTGATCATTTTGTTCATCAAAGGAGAGGGGAAAAGAATTAGAACTCTTAATCCGCACCTGATTCTGACTAATAAAGATGTGACCAGGGGAAAACATTCAGAACCTTGGGAGAAAGTAGCCCTTTCCTCTTACAGTTCATGCTAGGTACAGGGAAGGATAGGCTTAAACTGATATCCACCCTGTATTTGGAGAGAATGGATTTCAGAGAGTTTGAGCAAAGGACAGGTATAGTCCCTGGCTGAAAATTTTTTGGGGAAAATTAACCACAAAGGGAGGGGATGTGACCAAGCTTACATTTCCGTTGAGTAACAAAAAGAAGAGCTGATTAAAAGATAATGATGGGGATATGCCTTTAACTCATCGACTACTATAGATTGGAAAAAAAACACCACATACAGGAAATGGAAGCAAAGTTAAGTAATTGATGAATACAAAATGGTAACGTAGCCCTCTGAGAAGAGTGTCAGCAGTGTCAAAGTTCAGAGCCCCCTGCAGCTGGCAAACGCCACTAAGGATGACCAGAATGCCTTTTTTAGCTATTTTGAGAGAAAGGAACGAACGGGACTATTGGAACACTGAGGCGAGGGAAGGCAGAACTTTTTACTTCTTGCATATTAATTACATTTTAGTTTTCCATCTTCCTGATGTGGCAAGCAGGCTGTGTTCTTGGAAGAGTCATCATGTCTATCATGTGACAATATAATAATGTAGAAATTTTTGGTGACTAGTAAAGCATACTGTGAAAACATAGTTCAGTGTTATCATTAACTTTATCAGTATGATTTATGTGTCTCTAGTTGTTGATTTCTCAAAGACAATCTGTTTTTATTTTCCCTATGCTGGTAATCCAGCTTTTTAAAGTAAGAGCCAGGAAATTCTGGTTTTTACAATACTTTAATTTCCCTGTCAAGTTTCTTAATCATCCACCAGTGTCTCTTTTTCCCACTGAGAGGATATTCTTTATGTGCCTAAAATTGTTGCAGCCACAAGATGTCAGACTCACTTTTTTCTGTATGGCCCTCACTTCAATCATAAATTCATTCTGATATAGGCTTGCTAACTGATGCCAAACGTTTTGGGCCAGGCCGAGCTCAGATCAAGTCTAGTTATTCAGGCTTGGGATTGAAATCCAGTGAAGTGCTTAGGGCCCATAAAATGCTGCTGTCTCCCACCTCCACATTAACAGGGTGACAATGCTGGATCAGATTGTGTCCCACAGGACACTGGGAAGGAGTGCCACCATCACTCCTCTAGGGTGGGCTCTCTATATTACTGTTCCCCTAGACCCACTAAATCCTAAGGTTGGCATCCCTAAAGGGAAACCATTCTAACTTAAATAAAATAAATGCTGTTCTTTCTGCATGGCCCCTACCAGATTGTGAAAGATTAAGGTATGGTCTGCTTGATAAACTGTGTGTCTGTGATCTGAGAAATGTCTTTATTAGATTTGGGAAGGTTTATTACTCCGTAGGATACAGCTCTTCTTTTTTTTTTTTTTTGTGAGGCAGTTGGGGTTAAGTGACTTGCCCAGAGTCACACAAGTAGTAAGTGTTATGTGTGTTGAGGCCAGATTTGAACTCAGGTACTCCTGACTCCAGGACCGGTGCTCTACTCACTGTGCCACCTAGCTGTCCCATACTACAGCTATTCTTAAAGACCATCTATTCGTTTCTATACTTAGAATCAGTGGAAGGGATGCCCTTACTGATGACATTGCTTATCTGTAGCATCTCTTAAAAGATTTTAAGAAACTTTAAGCTTGTATATCTTGCTGTGTTTTGACAAATACTGTTGTCTATTCAATAAGACACAAGCTATCTTTTACATGGATTACTTCTTAGGAGGATTCGTAAATAGCTCGTCTCATTCCTTTGCACTGATTGTCATTCGTTTCCATTTCAGAATGTGATAGATTGAGTCTTTCTGAAGGTATACCTTATAAATAACAGCAGACGCTTGTTCTTTCAGAAAATTTGTTTGCCTGAATGACAACATTGATCACAATCATAAAGATGCACAGACAGTGAAAGCAGTACTCAGAGATTTTTACGAGTCCATGTTTCCCCAGCCATCCCAGTTTGAACTGCCACGAGAATATCGGAACCGTTTCCTTCACATGCATGAGCTCCAGGAATGGTACGTTCTTATGTCATGCAGTGTTCATGCAGATAGTCAACAGTGATCATAGAGTGTATGTGATTGCTTTTCCTTCTTAGAATATTCATTTATGCTTAAAAAAAATACCCTATGAAATAAAGACATCTTAATATCATAAAAAGTAAGGAGCTTCAGAAAAGAAAGGCAGATATAGATGGCAAATGTACGAAAGAGTAAGAAGATAAAAATTAAGAAGGGTATTTAACTTTCTGGATCCTGGATCAAGATACAGAAATGAGAACACACTAGAAATTTCCCAATTATCGAAGAATATAAAGCAATGACGCTCACTCTCTCTGATAATATTTGATATAATTCTAGAAATGCTAGCAATAGAACTAAGATAAAAGAAAGAATGGCAAGGTGTAAAGACAGGCAAAGAAGAGATAAAACTATCCTTTTTGCTGATGACAGGATGGTTAACTTGGAAAATATTAGGGAGGAATCTTTCTACCAAAGCATACTCAGTACTTAGGCAGTTACAAAGCGAAAAGAAATAAAATCAAAGAAATACTCATGAATTTAACCCTGGAATGCATATTTATAGAGCATTCTACTATATGCCCACCATTCTGGGTGCCGTGCGGGATCCAAAGAAGCAGAGTTTGTGCCATCCATGGTGGCAGGTTGTTGTAGGGGTGGGAGCAAGATAGCATAGCATGAGTTGCCTACACAGGCTGATGGCAAGAGCTCTGGACCAGGCTCTGCAGCCAGCCGACCCTGCCCTTGGGAGAAGCTTCAGCCTCTTGGACTCAGTCTCCTCATCTGTGAAGTGAGGGGTGTGGATGAGCAGATCTCTAAGTTCCCTTCTAGCATTGGAGGGCTGTTTGAGGGAACCATGTCAGTGAGGACGTTGGGATGGAAAGAAGAAAAGTTTTTCAGGGATAGTGAGAGAGAGAGAGAGAGTGTTTGTATGCATGGATAGTTAGATAGGATGGATGGCCAGATTCGAGCCATTGGGTAGTAGTAGAAGATGAGGTTAAAAAAAGTAATTGCGGCCCGATTGTGGAGGGTTTGGAATGCTAGCCTCAAGAATTTATTCTTTATCCCATTTACAAATGAAATGTTATATGTAAAGAAAGCACTTTATAAACCTTCAAGTGTTCTAAAAGTGTTAGCAATTCCTAATCTTGGGGGAACCATTCAGACTGGTTCATGAGCAGTGGAGTAACATCTCGAAAGTGTTATTTTAGGAAGATTAATCTAGTCGGTGGCTCTCAGCAAGATGGATTGAAGGGAAGAGGAAAGAGACAGAAAGTTATTGAAATAATCCCAATGTGAGGTGATTAGGGCTTAAACTAGGACAACGGCAGTGGGCATAGAAAGGCAGGGATGGAAGAAGGAGAAGGGAATTGATGGGCCTTTATCATATTTGAGACTTGAGAAAAATAGGAAAGGTAAAGAATAACAGAAATTTCAAGTCTAAGTGACAGACATCAGGAATGTTGAATATGGGAGGGAAGCCCAGACAAGCAGGGTGGTTTTGAAAAGAAAGGATTGGAATTATTGTGGATTTTTTAAATACACGCACTATGAAGTCAAGAGTCACAGTTTCATGGACAGTCTCCCTTCTATGTGGAAATGCTGTGTGTGTGTGTGTGTGTGTGTGTGTGTGTGTGTGTGTGTGTGTGAAGTTCATAATAAGATGAGAAATGAGGGAGGCAGATGGGAAGCAGATTTGGGAGGGGAAATGGTAAGTTTGATTTTAGGTTAGTCCTATAGACAAAGTCATCTGCATAGAGATAGCAGGGGAATCTGAGAGCATCAGTCATTGAGTTTTCCGGAGGATGGGTAAGTTTAAAGAGAGAAGCAAAAGGCCAAGGGTAGTGACCTTGGGCCAGGAAAAGAGGAAGAAGAACCAGCAAAATACAGACTTCGTTTAGGGCTGCTCTGCACCGAGGAAGGAAAAGTGCAGATTAAGGGAATTGGCGCATTGGTCCCCACATCTCCCCCATGCCAGCTTTTTCACTTGTCTCATCAATGAATTTCTAAAAGACCACAACGGTGTTGTTGGCGTCCAAATGTTTTCCTTTTTAGTAGGAGAGGAAGTTGTTTGTGGGCCATGGTCCTTTCTCCCCCACCTACCCTCCATCCTTCCTTCCTTCCTGAAATGTAAAGAATTGGCTTGAGAGCCCTTTTGCTTCCCCTTCATCCAGAGAAGGAGGAGCGTGAGCTACTTTGCAGCCTTCCTCTCTAGAAAAACACTGCTGACTGTTGGTATGCCTTTCCGTTTTGGTATGTGCCTGCCATTCAGGAAAAACACCATTAAAGACTGATAGGAGACATGGCTAGTTGGTGTATTGGTAAAAATGAAAAGACAGTTTTTGTACAGAACCTTATTGAGGTCAGACTTGAGAGCTTCAGATATTTAAAGATTTTCCCTTGAGTGATTCCTTTCACAAAGAGAAAATAATAGTATATGACATTGAAAAAAAGTTTGCTCTGTGAGATTATCTTTAGGTTTTGACAAAATACCTTCAAAAGGAGATTGTGCAAATGATGCTTTTGATTTTGAAGTCATTATGGATTTTAATGGTGGTAGGATTGCCTAGTGAATAGCGTGCTAGCTGGCCTAAGCATCAAGAAAATCTAAGATGAAATCATACCTCTGACACTCAGTGCCCCTAGACAAGCAGCTTACCTTCTGCACATCTCAGGCTACACCTAGGACTGTTGAAAGAAGTCAATGACATTGTTGTCTGCGTTGATGGAGGGCTTTTTTCCACACTGGAAGTTCCCCTCACTAGTGAAACCACATATCCTTCCCATATTCATTTATTTTATGTAAAGAATGATAAATATTTGACTACCACCTAAATATTGGTAGGGATAAGCATATGTAAAGTACACATTTGTTTTCCTCTTTCTCTTTTCAGGAGGGCATATAGAGATAAATTAAAATTTTGGACCCATTGTGTACTTGTAACGTTGATCATGTTTACCGTATTCTCGTTTTTTGCTGAGCAGGTAAGTTTTGTGAGCTTTAGCTAATTACCAAGCCCTATATATTGGTACACTAACATCTGATAATTTTAAGAAAATGACAATAAATTTATGATGTATCATATTTTGAAACTTTAACAGCATTTGAGATCTGTGATATCCAGATATCATCAGTGTACCCTTTTTACTTAATTATCCTCAAAACTTATTGCCTGTAATATTTTTGACCTGAAGACTCAATGGATAACCTTTGGTGGCTCAAGCTCTAACCCTATAAACACTCTCAGATGGGAGGGATATCAGAACCTTCCCAATTCTGATGCCAGATCTGCACAATCCTAAGAGATAGCTGATTGTTTTTGTTCACTGTTTCAATAAATCTAGTTCTCTAACTAGTTTTCATGTTACCTGATGCCATTACATTTTGTAAGGCTTATATGTCTGTAATGCTGTCCATATGCAGAATCTTTAGGTGTGTGCATACATGTATCTGTATAAACGATCTGAATTGGTGATTATTCCTCCATGATATATAATAAAAGTTTTCCAAAGCTTTTAAGCAGATGACCATCTCTTGTGCATTTTTAGATGTAGAAACTCAGTGCATCTGTTGTGTAAATATGACGGTCGTCTTTTACTTTTAGCTAACAGCCATCTTCTTAAAAAAGAACACGCCTCCTAACACAGACTTGCATGGGCTCTAGGTCCTTGACAAAATTAAGCTTCTTCGATAAATTTGTATTCACTTAAAATACCAGTCCAGAGCTCACATGCTGCATTTCTTTAAGTTTCTTACTGCAGTAGAGATGTGCAGTAGGCTTCTGGACATTCAACATGCTGGTGCATATTTTCTCAGGGTTGGCAGAATTAAAAATATATGTAGAGGGTTGGCTTGCGGAGTCTGATGTCCAATCGGTGCTGCCATGTCTGCTGTCGCTTGGTGTGTTTGAATCCCTCTTATGGACGATTAAGAGCCGTGTTCTGCCTTCCTTCCACTATCTAGCTAATTGCACTCAAACGGAGGATTTTTCCCAGAAGGAGGATCTACAAGGAAGTTGGTACTGAACGGATCGGGGTGTAGGAGGTGGAAAGAGCCTGCCTCCGTGTTCACTCGATGACAACAGCATCTTTGTAATGTGATGCCTCGAGATCCAGGCCTGAAGAAATAAAGAGAAACATCCTGAAGGATGACAGGTTGTGGGCACAAAGTGTGACCCCCAGACCAGCCGAGCTGTTTAAGAGACACACTAAAAAATGATAGGTGTGTTGGGCAGCCCTCCGCTGAAATTCTACTTTGGAAGCATTAGCTCATGGACATGTTATCCTTTTTATAAAAAGGGTTACCAACAGAGAGACAGCTGCCTTTATTGCAGTGGACATTGCCAAGTAAATTTAATATCTGAATCCTACACCAGTGTGGGAGCAGTTACTGAGAGGCCTCAATCAGCCTTTGCATTCCAGAGCATTCTGCTGGTCTCTTGCTGGGATGCTTTTTTCATTTTCCGTTTTTAAATAAGTAACATTTAAGTTAACTCTTTTAGCTGTCCTTGTGTCTCAACTGTGATGCTGAAACAAATTGGTGAATGTATAATTTCAGCCCAGCTTCGTATTGGGAGGATCAAAAAAATTTGGATTTGAAGAATGTTAATGGGATTCGGCTATGGAAGATCTCAGGACCTGATGTCTGAAATATCTTGGTTTGGGTTTACTTGACCCCCCCACCCCCAGGAACACAGGGATTATGTTTGGGGGCCTGCACACGAAGGGCTGCTGATCAAGAGTACTCATGTTTTGGAAACGTTGTAAAATACAAACAAAAGTGCCTCATTGTAGAAATTAGCGATACGGTCCCTGAACCACCGTCACATCACGTTGATGGTTCCTTTGATACAGGAGCAGGTGATACCAAGGGACATATGTCGGGAGGGTCTTTTAAGTTTGGGCAGACCCTGACACTGCATCATACTGTGGTATGACATCAACAAAGCCACAGAAGACTAGGGTAGGAGAGGAAATCTATTCAAGGGGACGTTTCTGACATGTACTTTAAATCACAGTCACAGCACTAGTCTTTCAAAAATCACATTAATCATTTTGTAATAATTGTAAAATATGGAATTTGAAATGTACAGGATGTGTTTGTGCTGTCATTGTGGTTAAAAAAGGTCACAAAAAAAAACTCACTTGTCTGATGCTTCCCCCCGCCTTACTTTTTTTTTTCCTGCCTTACTTTTTTTTTAAATCTCATGAATTTTTTCTAGACTAGTTTATTGTTTGCCACTGAATATTCAGCAATATTTAAACAAGGGTATGTATCAGAAGGCCAACAGGTGCTAGTTGGGGGGTGGGAGGAAGAGTGGTTCTATTCTGGAAGAAAAATGTTATCCAAGATTACTGGAGGGAGAAGAGTTTTCATTTACATGCTTTCACATATGTACTTTCAGGCTTTCTGTCAATTAGCAAGTATATTTGTGTGTGTGTGTGTGTGTGTGTTTTATATGTGTGTGTGTATATGTATATATGTAATATACATTTAATTTAGGATCTAGCTTTTATTTTAGACTTTATTGTTTTTAAAATTATTTTTTAGACTTAATATTTTTTACATTCATTTTTTTCTCCCTCTTCCAACTCACCCCATTGAGAAGGCAAGCAATATGATGCCCATTATAGGTGTGAAGTCATGCAAAACATGTTGCCACTTTAGCCATGTCAGCAAGTATATCTTTTCTCAAGAATTTATTTATTTTTAGTTTTCAGCATTCACTTTTATAAGATTTTGAGTTCTAAATTTCTCCTCTTCCCTCCTCTGTGCCCTCCCCAAGACAGCAAGCAATCTGATATAGGTTGTGCATGTACAATCATATCAAACATATTTCCACATTAGTCATGTGGTGAAAGAAGAATCAGAACAAAAGGAAAAAACCACAAGAAAGAAAAAAAAGAGAGAAAATAGAATGCTTTGATCTGCATTCTGACTCTATTGTTCTTTCTCTGGGTGTGGATAGCATTTTCTGTCATCAGCAAGTGTATCTTAAGTATACCTACTGTTCTCCAGGTACTGTATTAGGCTCTGGAAATACAAAGACAAGAATGAAACATCCCTATCGGTAAGGTGTTTGATAACATTCTAATTAAAGGACATGACAAAAACATTAAAAGCCCCCATTTTACAGATTTGGAAGCTAACCCTTAGCTTTGAAGTGTCTTGCTCAAGGTTATACATCTGGTAAGTGGAAGAACTAGTGTTTGAACTCTAATTTCTTTAATGCAATGTTCTTTCTATTGTAGGAGGCCTCTCTAAGTCTGTGTATAAATAGGGACTTTGTAGATACGTGGTATAATGGTAATAATAAATTATAATAATTTGGTGTTGAAGAATGCTATGGGAGGAGGGGGCCGACTCAAGAACGGAGGTCTGAACTAGAAGTTGTCAGCATTTTCTTTCTTTCTTTTTCCCTTAATAGTATTTTATTTTTTTCCAATTACATGTAATGATAGTTTTCCACTTCAACTTCAACCCAGAATTTTGAATTCCAAATATTTCTCCCTCTCTCCTTTGCCTCCTTCCTCCCTAAGACAACAAGCAACCTGATATAGGTTATACATGTACAATCATATTAAACGTATTCCCATATTAGTCATGTTGTGAAAAAAGAATCAGAACAAAAGGGAAAAACCACTAGAAAGAAAAAAAAAAGTAAAAATGGCATGCTTCACTCTGCATTCAGACTCCATAGTTCTTTCTCTGGATGTGGTTAGCATTTTCCGTCACAAGTGTTTTGGAATTGTCTTGGATTGTTGCATTGCTGAGAAGAGCTAAGTCTATCATAGTTGATCATCACCCCATGTTGCTGTGATTCCTGGTCCTGCTCACTTCACTCAGTATCAGTTCATGTAAGTCTTTCCAGGTGTTTCTAAAATCAGCCTGCTCATCATTTCTCATAGCACAATTGTATTTCATCACAATGATGCAACACAACTTGTTAGCCATTGCCCAATTGATAGGCATCCCCTCAGTTTCAGTTCTTGGCCACCGCAAAAAGAGCTGCTATAAATATTTTTGTACATGTGGGTCCTTTCCCCTTTTTTATGATCTCTTTGGGGTACAGACCTAGTAGTGGTATTTCAGCATTTTCTTTCACTTTTGCAGAGGGGGAGGGTTTTGGTTTGCTTTTCCACCATACCACTCCCAGTATCCCCTGTAGGCCCCCCAGACTTTTGACCATGCTTAGGTTTTAGAATTGGAAGCTCTTCTTGTAGACACACTTGTCTACTCAATTATGACATTTGTATGTCAAGATAAATATCATTTTTTATTAGGAATTCATATTAATTGAACCAGAACTGGACTGGTTTTGCTTTGTACCCAATTGTATTTGAAGAAAGGCTTAGGGGGGAGCTAGGTGGAGCAGTGGATAGAGCACCGGCCCTGGATTCAGGAGAACCTGAATTCAAATCCAGCCTCAGGCACATAACACTTACTAGCTGTGTGACCCTGGGCAAGTAACTTAATCCCCATTGCCTAACCCCCTCCCCCCAAAAAAAGAAAGGTTTAACTGAACCGATTACTGTTGGAGCAAGATTGCAAGAAAAATAATGCTACATCTACATCAAAGCACTTTGCAAACACTGATTTCCAAGACCAAGAAGCATTACCCAGCGGCACTTGGCTAGTTAAGTTATAATTATAAATGTCCAAATGGCATTTCTTTTAGCCTTTGTAGTTTAAACATTCTACTGATTCAGATGGCCCCCAGTAACTCCACATCATCAAAGAAATTTTACTTCACACACACACACACACACACACACACACACACACACACACACACACGCAAAACCATGATGTGGATTCCGTCCTTTGTGTTTGAAAATAAGGCTTCTGACTCTTTTATCCAGATGGGTCCCTAAAAGACAGGTCATTTGGTTCTGGGCATCATCCAGAATTACCTTGCTCTCTGCCACACCCTTCCTACGGTAAAGGTTGATCGACCCTTATTAAAATGGAGCTGTCCCATGTATTTAAATTCCTCTGTGCCAGATGGAGGCATGATCTGGGGCAATTCCCCACCATTTGTCAGTATGCTGACCAATGCCTTTATCTCTTATCATCTCAAGTCATGGTTCATTATGCTGCCCTTGGTTGCTTGTGGCCTCTTGCCCAGGCATCCAGCCTCTTGCAGAAGGCATTATTTCTGTGCTTCTCTCCTGGCTGTCCTGTGAAGCCATCTGTAACATTCTAGCCTGGTCATAAATGCCAGTCCTAGGATTATAAATAAAGCGGCACTGCCAGCTGCTGTCCAGGCCTTCAGTTGGTTGTCTCATGTACAGTTATGCTTCCATGCTTGATGGCTTTCAGGAAGACAGAATGAGCAAGGTTTTTACTATCTTATTTTCTGTCAGTAAACAGCCTTATTGGGTATTTCTCACATGCAGCTGGGTGGCAAGGTAAGAGTGCCAGACCTGTCGTTAGACCCTGCTTTGAATCCTGCCTCTAGCTAAGCTAGGTGATCGTAGGCAAATTGCTTCACCTCTCAGCCTCAGTTTTTTCATTTGTAAATGGGGATAAGACTAGCCCCTCTTCCCAGTGTTCTTGAGGATAAAAGTGTTTTGCAAACTTTAAACCATTCTATAAATGGTAGCTATTATTATTGTTATGGGTACTTGGGGGAGCTGGATCTCTGCAGAGTAGTGGGTTATTTAACTTATCTCCAGCCCACTTGGAGGAGTGAAGCTCAACCCCTGTGAATTTGGAGGCGTTTGGGGAGAAGAGGGAAGACTCACTGAGGATGACAGAAATGAGGATTCAGCTCCTGTCTTGGAGCCCTGGGCTACTGATTGGTGAGAGCTCTTCATATCTAGCCCAGCCCAAACCCAGTCTGTGCCGATTCATATACCTCGTGTCCCCTTGGCCTCGGAGGGAGCATATACTTTCTCTACCTCTTTCTACTTATAGCTGGAAAGGATGTGTCAATTACTGATGATTCCACAGTGTCTCTGTAACTTCTCTGTTGTTGGCTCCTTGAAGGCAGAGAGTGTTTTGCTTCTTGGATTTATATTCCCAGTGCTTATGTCTGTCATATAGAAGCCATAATATGCGCTGCTGGGTTCATTCATTCATTGGGCCAAAGTGATTCAGCTAGATGGTATGAATGTGAAAGGAGAGGCCTCTGGGTAGCAGCTGCATAGAGAGCATCTACAAAGAAGCATAGAATAGGCCCATCCATTCTAGCCTAGGTATAGGCAGGGATCAGGGGAGATGGAGGAGTGGGAGAGAGCCCAAATGGCCTTGGAGAAGGGGACCGGAGATGCATTACCTTCCAGAGAGAGGCACGTTTTCCTTCAGTGCAAAAATTGTAAAAAAAAAAAAAAACAGGAGATGAAGGGGAGTATCTTAATGACAGAGGGGAGGTGCCAAAGGCATAATGAAGAGGGAGGGCAGAAGAGGAAAGGGAAAGAGTCTCAGTAGAGATGAATACAAAAGGGAAAGCCAGGAAGGACATTTTCATTGCTGCGGCTGGCCACCAGCTCAAAGGGATTTGACCTCTAACACATTTGATAGACCCTTTGGAGGATTTATGGGAGAGCATGGGTTGTAGTCTGCCAAATGCCTTCTTAGCTTTTATAATTCTCATGGAGAAAATATTGGTACCAATCATATTACAGTCTTATCAAAGGGTCCAAGTAAGCAGAATACCTTTTAAGTTCTGCTTCATTCATTCCATAAATGTCCCCCCAACACTGTTTGAGGTTTAATCTGTGGTCCTTGGTTTTAGTGAACTCACAGGAATTCAGCGTTTACAGAGTGCCTGCTAGTAGCCAGCGTCCTCACACATCTTCTCCACTTATCACAAAAGTATGAGATCGATTATACAAAATTGAATCAATTAGGTGACTTCAAGTGTAGCAGCAAAATAACTGTAGTCCATGGGTCCCACCTATTATAAACCCCCTTGGATTTGGGTTCAAATTATTAGAATTTTTAATGATAATTCTCCTAATCTGGTTCATTTAGTCTCCATTTAATTTGAAACTGAGAACTGTTGAAGCCAATTCAAATCTAAAACATTCAGTTTCTCACCTTACAAGAACACAGATCAAAAAAAAAATAGCATTGAAAAAATAAGATGAACGAATGAAAAAGTATTTTTGAGTGCTAAGCTCAGCACTGAAGTTACAAGCAGAGAAAGCAAGA